TTGAGGATTCAACCTCACTTATCCCAATGGCCTGAAAACGAGGAAGCAGGACAAGTAAACCCGGGTGGGTTGCATTTTGCCTGCGGATGTCAACAAAGGACACCAAATGAAAGCCGAATAGAGAGGAAAGCTGGAACACGGCTGAAAGAAAAAGCTCAGACACCAAACAAAAGTCGGCAAGAGCCAACGAGTTGTGAGAAGCGCCACCGAACCATCATAGTCTCTACCGTACGAACCGGTCAGTTCAATGTCTTCATTTCAGTCACTGGACAAATTGGGGCGCTCCTGATATGTTTGTTACGCTACACCATCACTTGGTGAGCTGGACGAAAAGTAAGCAGCCCTCCAACGCGGCGATATGAGTTCAGAGACGCAAAAAGTGAACCGTCAACAGATTTGGTGCCTCTTCCACCCTCCCGACACATGGAACCTGACAGGCTTCTATTCACAAAAAATAACCGCCTTGTGGGTCACCCCTTTCTGGGATTCCACGATGCTCTTCAGGGTTTAGTGGCACATTTAGAAATATGTCAGACTCAATTGGAACCCTTTGGTTAAGGGCTTCAAAGAGAAGCCAACATGAAACTAGCCATTTGGCGGAGTCCCCAGTTTCGACGCACAAACGCGCACACACACATGTTCTTCAGGGATTCAGCAACGACCTTTCTGCGAGCTGATCTTTGCCACTCGGCCCGCCTGCTGGTGATAGTTGACCCTCGTGGAGGGGGCGGGGAGTCCTGGCCTCGCTGGATCTGGGGGGACGTCTCACCCCCGTTCCGATGCTTGGGTATGATCTTGTTTACATGAGGTTTAACACTTCACCAAGCATTCTTGAGGCAAGTTGACCTAAACGGGACCTGCTGAATTCCCATGGTCATAGATTAAGCAGCATCAAGCAAGTGCAACGCAATCGTCAAGAAATTCGCCATGACGTATGTGCTGGTAATTTTGCAGTGTCTCGAATTGGCATGTTTGCCTTTAACCACACCTTGAAACGCTTACTTTGCTGCATTGCGACAGTTGCAGAACGGGCAAACGAGTACTGACGAACATAGTCAGTCATGCATTAATCCGTGCCCTCTACTCATAAATTCACCCTGTTCTTCCCAAGCCCCAAAGTAGAAATCCAAACGAGCGAATTTCGTTGCCAACTCCAGTCTTGTTCGGGGACATTTTAGAACCACTACTAAACCATGCCACTAAGACCGACACTAAGCCAATCACTGTTCAATTCGAAACCAGAGCAAATCTAAAAACTAACTTAGGTTTTTGATGATTGAACTCATTGCTCGGAAATTGCAATTTTGAACGAAATTTGGGCCCGGAAAAGGGGGACCCCATTTGGACTAGGACTGTAGCGGAACGCCCCTGGCGCAGAAATGGACCTATATCAGTAAATATCGTTCGGGCGAATATACTTGTAACTACAACAACAACTTTGTCTTGTATAGGACATCAGTAGCACGTTTAATCAGTGCACAGGCAGCACGTGCCAATTCACATGATGCCGCACAAATTTAACACCTGGGAAAGGGTTTTTCGTGAGTGCGGTCTCAAAACATACAAGCCAGGGTCATGAATCGTCACATCAGGTTGTTCTTGCTGATAGCAAGCTCGTGTCTCTTGCCACAAGTCTTCGCCTTCGGCAGGAAACACCTGTGTCACATTGACAAAACGCAAATGTTGCAGTCTTTTGGGTCGGTCATTTTTTTTTATAAGAAAGCAACGTCTGGCGGCTTTGCCTGGTTTCCAACGTGGATGAGACATATCAGTCAACCTCGTTGAGGAACGCGCGTCGTGTTCGCAAGCCCTGCAAAACGTGCGGCACTGATTCTGAGTTGCCAGCGGACCCTCCAGGAGACGACCATCGACAGCCTAGCCATCGCGCTTCGACAGGCCCGCAGCCAGGAACCAGGCCTTCCTAACAAGCATACCACACCAATCGGCAAAGTAGGCAAACACATGGTGCGACTTCCGTGATTGATAACTTGATGCTGCAAGGGACTGGCTTTTTAGCTGATTGAATCAAACAAACTACACTGAATATGCATGATTGAGGAGGGCAAAGCACACATGATATGGAATGTCCAAACTACTGCCAGGCGTCAAACACATGAGTATCCCCAATAGCTTTCGGTGCCCCTCGTTCCGGTTCCTCTTTAAAGCGGCACAAAAGGCAAACTTATTGGGTTCCATGAGGACATAGTTCTTCCCCGGAACCTGCAGGGCATGGATCTGTTGCTGTCCAACATGGGCAAAAGGCGGACCTTTGGCAATTGCCAATGTCAATATATCAAGGTAGCCTTGTGCAGGCAGTGTGGGCCACGCGCAGATCCTCCCGTGGCACAGAATGCAAACAAGAGGTGGGACGAGTTGCAGTTTTGGAACCTGTACTCAAAACCGATGATTCACAGGTTGTTCTGAAAAAATGGTAAATGCCACACGACGATCCTCGGATCCGCACGTCCCAAGGCCCTCGCTGTTGGTTGAGTTGGAGGGACAGCAACATAATACAACGTTTGCCTTTTGCTCTGCTATGCCCCTGTGAGACATCCAAACCCAGACTGTCAATAGTCGTCGCACCCCGCAGTTGCTTCCCTGTAACTTCAATCAGCACATGTACAAGTCACGCGCACACACACAATCCCATGAGCTCCTCTAACACATCACTTGACTCACTAAAGAGGACACCCCCGCAGCATGATGTCGCATCTTCGGTGCTCACGCAGAAGCTGGATCAAAACCTGTCGCTTCCCTGCCTCGCCCATGGTGATGCAATCGACCCTCGGATGGCTCTTTTTGGTTTATCCGGTGGCCTGGTAGCCTGGTGGCTGGGTAGAAGCTGACTAGGGCAATTGCTTTTACCACGGGTGCACTCGCAGGAGTGTAGCTGCATGGCCAAGCATAATTAACGCGTCAAACGACCATAACAACACATTAAAGAAACACAACAGCAAAGACTTGGCGCCTGAGATGCATGCTCCGAAGGTGCTTGATGACCAGTTTGCAATTGAGATTAACTCCGGTGTCCATAGTTCTTGAGCCTATCGGCCGGGCGAGGCAAATCCAAGTTCACCAATGAATCAATCAAGCTTGATGGTAAAGAATGCCGCGGGGCATTCAGCCCCAGGTCTCAGTTGGCAGGTTATGACAATACGCCGTACCACATTATTTACCCTCTTTGCAAACACGCATCCCACTAAGTGGAATTGGATGGCTTGAGTTCTACATTGGTGTATCAACTTTCACAACCATTGACGGTCTGAAGATTCATCTTCTCCAGCGTGCACATCAACGTCTTTCCGGGCTGCAGTACAAATTCCTTGGATCAGTCTTGTGTTCACCTATCGCCGAAGCTGTATCAAGGGTAAGCCTTCGCATACCACACGCATCTTCATCACGCCGCTGGATCTACTCAAGAAGGGTACAAGTGTGCTGTGATGCTCAAATTGACTCAGCGTGTCTTGTTCGAGTGACGGGTGGCTTATATGCAAGTCGCTGGTGTGCACGCCAACTCGTGGCGAACACTTATCTTGGACCTTCAAAACAATGCTAGCATATCTCAGCGCTCAGCTTGAAATGCAGCTAGCTTGCCTTTCGCCTTCCTCAAGAATCGGCCGGTTGAAGAACTTTAAAGGGGAATCCCTGAGAAGGAGTTGATGTAACCTCTGACTACTTGGGTTTCAGAGACTCCTTGTTGTAAGAGAATCACCCAAGTCCGCGATTGAATAATGCATCACCAAACCGAGAGGGGCCTTCTCAGGATATCGAGACGCCCACGACGTCCATCCCCTGGCTTCCTCCAAATAAGTCCTTAGGTCTTGTTCGGGTCTGATTTGGGAGGAACAAAGGCAAGAATAGAACCACATATAGCTCCTCTTGAATCCTTTCATCTGAATCCGACAGGCCACGACCACAACGCCGTTCCCAGATTCAGCCCAGCCACGGCAAAGCTGACAGCCCTTGCTACCTTTCCATGGGACACTCCTTGCTGGGGACTTCTTTCCCATCATGAAACACAAAACACTCACTCAGGGACGGGGACCTCTGGGTATGAGTTCGCCGGGAAAACAAAAGCGGGTTAGCTCCAACAGTGTTGAACCAAAAAGTTAACCCCGCCTGAACGTAGGGATGGTGAAAAGATTCGCTCGTTTGAACACATGCGCTCTGAGCTTGGCCCCTGCCGCGAGCCAAAACACCTGGGGGTCACCCTTCACGGTTGGTTTTTTGCCTGTAAAAATGCCCCACGCCCCCCCCCCCCCCCCCAACAATGGATCCCCCCGAAACACATGATCGGCCAAAATCAACTGGTTCAAAATTGGGTAGTATCGCTGAGAAAATTTCGAGTTTCCGATTGATTCAATAGTGCTGGAACTTCCTTTTGAGATTGGATTTGAGGGGTTTAAGCCTCCTTTTCTCTTTGAGATTAGACTTGAGGGATTGGAGTTTCCATTTGATTTACTATTGCCGGATTGCTTTCCACTTGATTTAGTTTTGCTGGATTCGTTCTTCCATGTGATTGTTAGGCTTTGAATTTTCAAGTGATTTACTGTTGCTGGAATTGAGACTATTTCCCGGGGGCGGGGGGGGCTAAATACACGCCCATCTTTGTGGGATTGACACTATGTAAAAAACAAAGTTTGAGTTTGGGGGTTGTTGTTGCTTTCCAACAGTTATAGTCTTAGCTCTCCATTTGTTTTACTTCAAGGTGCTTTACATGCCTTTGGGGTTATTTGTTAGTTCTTTGTTCTTTTTTCTTTTCCGGCGGGATAGGGGTCATTGTATGTTTCGGGGCTGCCTAGTAAAATAATCGTCTTGGGGAGCTGGCGGGTGACTGTTTCGGAGGCCTTTGTGAATTGGAGGTCACCATTACCCTAGGGATTCTAAAATGTCCAACATTCAGATCACATCCTCTGCATTGCACCCGTGTAAACAATCTTGCTCGAAATTATCCACCAATGTGCCTCAATTTGAGAAACCCTTCCCAGACTGTTGCTCGCCTCATTCTCGGATCTCGGCTCCTGCGGAACTTGGCTGCACCCGGCAAACAGGCTGGGCCCCTTGGCTCTTGGTACATCAAATTGAATAATTACTGTAAACTCACTTGGCAAAATCACTAATGGGAGAACCCTTTTGGCAGAGATAAATTCGTACAATGCAAAACCGAGCATCAACAGCACGTCCATTCACAGTTGCCATGCGCAAACGGCGTGATCACTTCCAATGTCAAAGGATCCAACACATGATATTCGCTTCACCAGCATGCTCACTGCGATTGGCGTTGGGGCTTAAACCCACTATGTCACTGGACTTCTTGCTGCTGCGACAGCAACCACGCGGAAGGAAGCTGTGAACACAACAAAACTAAGCGCAGGCATATCCCCTCTCACGCAATCGCTGCTTGGCATTTGGCAAATCCGCTGGCAGCACGCTAATCCCCCAAAGAGTCGCCACAAGGCGGATGTTGCAGCGACAGCCGGCCTCTGGGAGCGTTGCGCTTGCGGTGACGGAGTCGAGCTCCAGAATCGGCACCTTTGGCACAAGGCGCAACGCACGAAACCCGGCAACAAAGAAAGGGGGCCCTTGAAGACACCCAACATGGCCTTCACAAGGGAGTATGGAGTAGTTTAATTTCGGGGCCCTTGGACCTCAAAAAGAGACTCATTCAGACTCATTCAGGTGCACAACGTGCACCGATTTGGTGATCACGTTTAAGAGGTGGTTCCGGTGGTTCCATCTCTCAAGTCGCCGAGCAACGAAGCCCATGGCCACCAGGAAGTCCTCTGACTCGCTGAGTAACTCCAGCCTCGGTGTCTGGCTCAGTTGGTGTCTTTGAGGGCACCACTTGGGGGGCTTTGACACCAAAGGGACAAAAACCACTGAATCAGCGGTTTTTTTTTGGTTGCGGCGGGCGGGGCTCTTATATTTGCCGACAAACGCATAGTTCCATCCCCACCTGGTCACCACAGCAAGAGGAACTCAGTTTGGAGTAGGGAAGTGACATGGTGCTTCTGGTTAGGGATAAATGGGCAAATTTCGTAGTATAGGACAATGACACATTGGCTACGGATTCCTTTTCCACAGGGTTCCTTTCAAATGCCACTCAGAATGAGCTTTCCAATCCGCAGAACGCATAGATGGCATAGACAACAACCGGCGCGTTGGGAGCTCCTCAATTTCATCCGCAGAAACTACTGTGACTCACCAATCGGGTTCGTTCGTTCATGGGCTGTCGTTATCCCATGTCTATCTGGTGATTCGGAAACAAGAAACTGTTGCAGTGCCTGGTTGAGAACCCTTTGGTTAAAGGGCGTGATTCTCAGAGGTTCAGTGGGGATTTGGGACATTTTTTCTTGCAGGCCTCTCTTAATGGGGTCGCTACCTAGGATTGCCAATGCCTAAGATTCATCAGCGGGAAATGAGGCATCCAAGAAAGAGCCAAGACTGGACATAAACCTATCATGGGTGAGCTTTGAAAATGGTTCTCACTCATGGGTGGACTCGGCTGCTTTACTCCCCCTTGGCCCCAAGCTTGCGATAACTTGCCCATCTCTGTATGGCCATCCAGTGAAGTAGATGGTTTAAAGTCCAGCTGAGTGGGAGGCAAACGAAGCAACGTGAGTCTAGAAGAGCTGCCAAGCCAGAAACAACCTGTCTTGGTGGGCGCGACAAAGATCTCAACTGGCGGTCAGGATGATGACAACATCATGTTCCTTGAATGGGCAGGTGGAAATTGGGAATGAATTGGAAAGGGCATACTGTAGTTTTGCGGCGTATTGCGGCGTATGGCTTAGTCCCTCCCCGCGCGTGCCTATTCAAAATGATATCATGGTAACTTCGTGACTGGCTCGAAAGATCTTCAACAAACGTAGTCTTGGGGGTGACAAACTGCAGCCGAGCTTGACAGGAAGTGAATCTCCTTGCGCCAAACAAACAACACGCGGATCAATCAGTAGGTTCAAAGTACATTCTTTGAGCCAGCAGTTTCAGAAACCTGCAAAATGGCAGTCGCTACACAAGCCTTGATAAACCCTTCGCGCTTCCAACAACTAGGAACACTTCGACAGTGCTAGACGCTCGCCAGCCTTTTCGCGCAAGTAATTTCATGCATCAAGTCCCAATAAACCAAACGATTCCATGATAATTATACGTACAAGGCTCATACACGTCAAGCCTATGCCAGGCTGTCGCTTTTATCGTCGTAGTCCCTGTCCAAGCACCAGGTTCCCAGAGATTCCTTTGTGCTGAGTTCCGCGCTGGGTGAGGTTTGCCGGGTGATCTGAGAGGTAACCAGTGATGCTCCCTCCTCGCAAACGCACCTGGCAAGCACCGCTACATGTGCCTGAGAGGCCGAAGCAAGCAGTCCACATGCGTCAAAGCAAACCTGCCACGGCACACAAACAAAAAACCAAACCCGCAAGTATTCGAAGCCTGAGCACGTGTTGTAAAACATTCGCATCATTTACAATGCCCACAAACCCCATGTCAGACTCTGAGCACCTGTGCTGAACAATAGATCGTTGGTCTTTGCTCCACTTTGTGCTAAACCTTGGACAGTAACATATTACTTATCACACACACACACACACACACGCATCGCCTCCGACAAACACACGTTTCGGACAATGCCCCAGAAGCCGCAAAATCTTTGTTTCAAGGGTTTGGTACGAACTCCTTGACAAACATCTTGGTTGCCTATGCCACTGCTTGGACTTTTTGCTCACTCATCAAACAAACCGTGTCATTTGGGCAGCATGTGCACGGAACACAACATTACATATATCCTCGTGCATGTCAGGCAAACAACACATGTGCTGGACGTGTGGTCGCTAGACCCTGAACTTGCCCAATGGCCTGACTGTCTGCAACTTGCTACCCACCTGGACCCTGAAGCCAGCTCGGTCATTTCCTGTGTCATTAGACGTTTGGGTCTTTCAGGTTTGCCTTACAAATCAGCCCAGCCCCCGCCAATAGTCATACACTAAAACCAACACTACAGAAGGGTGTTTGTTTTTTCAAATGATGGTTGCTCCATCTTGAAACATACCTCTCCTGTCCTACATTCTTGGGCATCCACCCTCAAAATCTATCAAAATCTGAGTGGTACCTCTCAATCTGTGTGGGTCATTCCAAGATGTCTTGTTCCCGAGACCCGGAGCAACCATCTGCTTGGCTGCCAAACGTCCGCAGCCCCAGCCCCCAGCCCCTCCCTCGAGCCTCGCCCCGCTGGATGCGGCCAGTCAGACGGCTCATCTCGAGGACCTCAAGCGAGGGAAAGGCGCTGAAGGATCGGAAGGGCTCAACAGCTACAAAAGGTTGATGATACGAGTTATGCTACGAAGATGTGTATACTATGTAGATTCTTAGATGGATCATACCTGCAAATATATACAAACACACAATTGTATACATATATATATATACACTTGTTTTTAGATATGTTTTTCTGCTCACCCTCCCCTCCATGATCCACGCACGGCAGGCCCAACCTTTGCTATGCAGGCCCAACCTTCTGCTATGCCGGCCCAACCTTCCGCTTCACAAAATGCAAGCTCCAACCAAATGCTTCTAATCAACCTCATCCACCTGCAAAACTCCTGAGTGCTAAGCAACTAAACGCACTTCTTAATATGCAAACTGGTGCCTTCTTACAACACATCCATCCGGGCCAACTTCGCATGAACAACCGTCATGCCTTGCTGGGAATGATTAAATGCAGCTTTTGGCCAGGCACATTTTTGCACTGCTTTCTAGGCGGACAAAGGTGTTCATGGTCCTTTTGTTAGGACGCTGTCCCAAGGAAAAGGTAGGGCCAGTCAGCTACGCGCCTTTCCGTTTGTGGGCCTTTCCTTTGGGCAAGGACCGTTACTTGAAGCTGATGTCTGTTTACATTTCTTTGCTTTGTCACTTGTCTGAGGCGCAGAAGCCACTTTGACGGCCAATGAGGCGCAATTCGTGCTTTAGAGAGACCTCGCAGCATTTTGGCAAGTCAGAGCCTTTTGTGCATCCATGCTGTAAGGTCCCTATTTTTCAGCCTCTGCAAGCTCAAACACTGGGGACCTCTCAGCATTTCTGCTCTTGGCTGTTCCATATTTTATAAGGTCCACGTTTTTCAGCCGCTGAGAACCCAACAAATAGAGACTTTTCAGCACTTCCGGCTTTTGGTTGCACGAAAGGCTGTAAGGAAGCCGAAAAATAGAATTATCTCAGCATTCTATGCTCCTGGATGCACAAAATGCTATAAGGTCTCTAACAACGCTATCTTTGAAGACTCTTCAAGTCAGGTCCCCAACAGCCTTCCAGAATAGAGTCTTTAGCGTTTGTAGAGGCTTTCCAGTACTTAGCTTGCAAACCTCTCAACATTTTCTGCTCTTGGGTCACAAAATGATGTAATGTTCCTATGTTTCAGCCCTTGGAAGCTCAAAAATAGGGCTATCTTTGCTCTTGGGCACCAAATGCTGCAAGGTCGCTGTTTTTCAGCCACTGCAAGTTCAAAAACTCGGGACCTCTCAATATGCACAAAATGCCGAAAGGCCACTTGCGATCTGCAACACAATGGCCTTCGAGGACATGTGGCAAATTGTGCTCCAGCTCGAGAGCCGGAGGTGGGGTAAAGGAGGTGGCAAAGAAGCTGGTTCGCCGTCATGGACAAGCTTGGGGTCTGCTTCCTCGTTCCAGCGCAGATTGCATCTGGACATACGTTCTCTTGGTGTTGGGTCTGAAGACGACTTGCAACAATGGCTGACAAAGACAGAGCAGAGGTGCAGTGAAGGTGGAGCGGAACCTCAGGATCTAACTAGCGCAGTTGTTGGGGAGCAGTTCCTCTGGAATGCAGCGAGTGTGTGGAAGATTGTTGGAAAACAGCCAATGACACGGTCCACAACCGGTGCTCTTTCGTCCAATCGTTTAGGTGAATTTCTTGTCTGTGGCAGGGTCAGACGGTCAGCATGTGCTGTCGTCAGTCGGCAAGTAGAGCAGATGTGCCATGTGTGACTTCTCAGCATTTTGTTCCCCTGGATGCACAAAATGCTGTAAGGCCCCTATTGTTCAGCCTCTGGAAGCCGACCCATCAAGAAACACATCTGCTAAACAATGTAGATTGTCTTCTTCATCGCATGCCACATCAAGAATGCGGCCTGCTTCACCTTAGGTCGCATCAAACCAAGGAAACATTGATTTTACTGTTTTGTGCGTACCACCCTCTAGGTGTGGATCATGGGGGGGGGGTGACGATATACATATATATATATATATATTATAGCAGGCTCTGCACAAACATTCTGAGTAACTGTTTGATATATCCGTCTCCCTTGGATCATTAGCGGTGCAACTGCCGGATTGAGAGTTATGTTACAATGTTGGGGACCCGTCTCTTGACCCAGCACTGCCAGGGTGTCTCAATTTTGAGCCACAGCCACCTGTCGCTTGTACCATACCATACCTTCAAGGGAACGAGGGAAGTGAACACGTTCCAATCATCCACCTGGATGAAAACCCCATAACGCACGCACATCGACAATTATCTGGGGATTCATTGTCTTTAGTGTTGAAAAAATCTGACGCACGCCCTCGACCAGTGATTTCAATTTCTGACCTACCTTCACTCTGCAAATGGACAGTGGACCGTTCAAACACAGAGGCCATCGGCAGGGAGGCCTAAGCATGGGCCAGAGTTCTCCGCCCTTCCTAGCCATGGTTCTTCCAAGAACCCTAAAGAGCCCGTTTCTATTTCCCTTGGTAGCAACTCGTACTCTTTATAGACCAACTTGCGGCTGGGGATCCAAGCGGCCTCCCATACGTGAAGACAGCATCAAAAACCGTCCATAATCCAGGGCCTAAATAGTTACAATGCAAATCATCGGAGAATGCTTGTACTACCTTCTCTCCCACTAACATGACACCCGACAGAAAGTCCCAAGTAAAATTGATCTTCCAGGTACCTTCGCACAGGTGACATGTTAGTGGGAGGAACGGTAATTGAGTCTCTTACACTAATTCCGTCGGAAAAACTTAGAACCTGCGGCCGCCCTCGGCCAAGCGGCCAATCGCCACTTGTCGGTCTCTGTGCCTCGCTCCTGGCTCTGGAGGTGTCGCCAGGGCGGGTGGGATAATTTTGGAGCCAAACCAGCGTCATTAGGTTGTAGTGGGTCTCACCTAGTCTCATTTGGGCCTGCCACAACCTAACTGAATTGGTGGCTGACGAGAACATGACCGAAGTCTGCAGCTTGAGCTTTGAGCGACTGTTAAAAACAGAGCTGCACACTGATACAACTTGCTCCAAGAAGCAGGGGTTCATGCCAAAGGGCTATCGCCTGGCACAAAGGGGCATGATCCAAAATATGTTTGGTAATCGCAAATCAAACCAGCCTGAGTGGTCCACCAAAACAGCTTCGACAATCATTAATTGAGCAGCGCTCAAACCCATCAACTTGTGTTTCTACAAACGCAGTTATTAATATGACCCCAATTGAAGCTGATACTTAGTGGACCCAATTTTTGTTTGCGGAACCAACTAATAATTAAGTAATTCTAAAGCTGATAGATATAAAGTAACCAAAGTGGCCCCGTGTATTTTATATACTTTTCGGGGAGGCGGGGGAGGCTTGGGCGCTGCTCAGGACATTTGACCAGAATCTCTCGGCTCCTTCGGCGGCGGCATAGGGACCATGCCCTGACCTGTGCTGTCGCTCACGTTGTTTCAATGGCGCCGAAAAAGCAAAGGAACAAATCCCGAACCGTTAGGAATTGCCCCAATATAGAGTGGGAATATGCCAAGATTGGAGCACCCCCCTATTTTGGAGCGGGAGCGCTTTAGTTTCCGTTTAACATCCTTTGAGACAAACACACAACGGCTCCGTCAACAAAGATCGGCTCATACTAATAAGGTGTTCGACAGCAATGGAATTAGAAACACGAAACAAAAGAACCAGGACACTTGCAGCGAATTGCTGAATAAATGAAGAGCATTCACCGACCTCAAAAACACAGCTCTATGTGAAAAGGGAAACACGGTTTTGTGAGGTGCCTATAACTTGCGTATAATTTATGAGTTGAACGCTTGGACAGGACCATGCAGACTAGTTGTGCGTGGTAGGCCGCCCTGAGTCCATGTTTGGTGATTGTTGTGGAGAATCCGAAGCTAAACAGCCGCTAATCACGAAATGAACGCAGGCAAAGCAAACGTATCGGAAGCCGGCTTGTCAACCGCACACAAACCATTCATCATGAATAGTCAGCCACACAAACAGCTATGCATGACATGATGCGTAAAAACGCTTCCCTAGTCGGACTCCTTATCATGATTCAACCCAATCCCCAACACTGCTTGGCAAGCAACGGAGAAAGAAGAAACAAAAGGCCTTGTGACCGCAGCACGCACACACACACAAACAGGCGATAAACTTCATTAAAACCACCAACTGTCTTCAGTAACTGGGATTGACCGCTTTTAACATGTTTCAAGCTAAAGGCTTTTATTTTCCGACCCTCTATGGTCTCCGGCTGGGCCACTCGCGGCAGTAAGCCTCTGAGGGAATGTCCACAAGGCCTCAGCTGGACAGTCGACAGTCTGTGCCCTGCCAACGGAAACTCGACATGTGGAACCAGCGCTTGCTTCAACTGGGCCCAGGTTCTAGACTGTTTACAAAATGGTTTAAAATCAGCTTCCCATCAAACATAGTGCCCAGGGGTTGACTTGGAGATCTTGAAAGTAATGGGGCCGGTTTGACGGTTCAAACACCTGCAACTTGACAGCCACCTGTTGCCAAGTGGAACACGTGCCTGCCTCAAACTGAAGAATCATCATTAATTTAGTGTTGTGGTTGATCGATCTCAGAGAATGGCATGATCACAAACCGCGCTTCAATCTTGATCGCCAAACTCCACCGTACAAAGCGGCCAAGGAATTGCTTGAGCAGGGCTTGCTGCTTGTGTCTTCCACCTTGCGATTGCCTTGCCCAAACCACAAGTCCCCCTGCCAGGCCGAACCCCGAGCGTCAAACAGCGATTGAAGCACAAAGGCCTGTTGCGTTGGCAACACACACACACACAGGAACATCCTGCATAAACAAAGAAACTCATGTATGTCATTCCCGTCAAATCAAGGCTTGCCGAGTCCTTGACCTGTGTTGCAGCTTAACACAGCATTGTGATCGCTCCTGAATGCCTCTCGTCTCTTTCTCTCTCTCTCTCAGCCTCTGCCTCCTTCTGATGCTTCAGCTTTCAAGCAAACAGTCAGGCATCTGATAATGGAAAGGAGTTTGAGCAGTTAGCAGCCTGCAAGCGCCAGTCGGGACCTGTGGTCTTCAAGCCCAAACTTGAGTTCCTTGAGGTGATAAACAAGGGCAATGCGATCAGTGAAGCCGCGAAGCCCTCCGCAACCGCTCGCAACAGGTCCCGAAGTACGCAATGCTTCTGGCTTTCCCCTTCGGCCCCTAGACAAAGCAGGGCCAGCAACAGCAAAGGATTCCCTCTACAATAGTACAACTCTCCCTATTAATTCTGGGTTGCCGTTAGGCTCCAACTCATTTTCTCCTGGTGGGTACGGCAACCTGGACGGAAGGGTACTGGCTGGAAGACCCGAAATGGGTTGGTAGGGCTTGTCTCGAAATGGAGCTCCAAAACGGACTGCACCTGACGCCCCCGGTTCTCAGCTGCCGGGCACTGCAACAGGGAGAGCTTCAGGTTCGGCGCTGAAAACCGCCTGCCACCGGCCCCCCGACCGAGTGGCCGAATACGGAGAGAACCAAGCCTTGAGGTTGCTCCAAGGAGCGAAATGTGGTCCTTGGAAACGAAAGCGAAAAACCAGACACATTTTTTGACAAGTGGGTTGGATATTGGTTTGGGGATCGAAGTAACCCTGCTAGCTCTGATGTTCCATAAAATCGAGTCTAAGTGAACTCTTTTAAAGTGAAACCCGGCGAAAACCCTGAGGGACCTCCATCCTCAATGAGTTGTTGTTCAATACCTGTTGAGGTCGTGACAATCGACAATTCCAACAGACTTGAATGCCAGTTGACGTACAGCTTTCGAAACAAGTTGCAGCGCCTGAGCAAGATGCATTCAACTGCCCATCGACCAGGCAATCATCATTTGTCTCAGATACGTGCTCGGAAAAGCTCTGTGGTTCACATCAAAAAGTGCTCCCGCCTGAAACCTGCCACCTTCTCAGACTGAAACGGGTCAAACAACACACAGCTCTGTTTCCAGGAGAATCTAGATTGTTGACCTCAACTGCGAGATCTTGCTTAAACATGCACCCTTAAAAGACGCAAGGGCAGATTTCAAATATTCCCAAAAGGCACTCCCTGACTGCGCCTGGCAGCTTCGCCTTCCGTCTCAGCCTGCGAGCCAATGATACCAAACAGAATCAGGGAAACTGAGCATCAACCAACGGGTCTGTCTCTTGAGGGGTGGATGTCAGTAGTTCGAACATAGTAATCATCCTCTTGTCTGATTTTGAGATGCCGGCTGCACAACCATGGTGTAGTACGCTGCGAAGGAAGGCAGACAAAACAACTGATATAACACACTTGTCGAGGGTTATGCAGGATGATCTATCAGCATTCAGAATGGGTCAGGTTCCTTCCAGGATTTGCTGGTTGCCAACTATGTGAGTTGGGTTGATCAGTGGTTGAAATTGGATCAGTGAGCTTGCAAAAAATGCATCGACACAGAAATGAGGCGCCCAAAAGCGGTCAAGCAGCGCTTTCAGTGGTGCTCCAGGTGTGACAGTCAATAGTTTCGCATCAGCAGAATATGTCACTAGTCGCAGGTGGTTCTGAATGAAGGCTGTTGGAACCCAAGCGACTTCTACAGAGTAACGTGCCAAAGGCAAAAGGGCAGACAACAAACTGAAGGGTGAGCTAACAATAACACGAAGCACACAAGTGGTCAAACACAACCTCTCACACAAAGACACAAACAAGCATGCATGCATGCATGCAAGCAAGCAAGCAAGCAAGCAAGCAAGCAAGCAAGCAAGCAAGCAAGCAAGCAAGCAAGCAAGCAAGCACGCAAGCAAACAAATACAAACAACAAAACCCACGCACGCGCACACAAACACACCTGCACACACTCAAACACACAAGCAAGCAAAGCAAAGCAAAGCAAAGCAAGGCAAGGTAAAGCAAAGCAAAGCAAGCAACACACACAAAAACAAACAAACCAGCAAGCAAACAAACAAGCAAACAAACAAACAAGCAAGCAAGCAACCACACAAACAAACACACACACACACACACAAACACACGCACAAACAAACACACGCACAAACAAACACAACCAACCAACCAACCAACCAAGCCAAGCCAAACCAAGCCAAGCCATGCCATGCCAAGCCAAGCCAAGCCAAGCCAAGCCAAACACACACACAAACAGACAAACAACAGCAACCAAACTAATTGAGCAAACAACAAAACCAACACCACACATCAACACATCAAACACACTCACCGACGCGTGTCACAGCTGCACGAAGCATGCGAGGTGTCCTGCCTTGCCAGGCTCATCCGCAAATTGCTGCAACCTGCCACGGCGCGGAAATCTGTGGAGGTTTGCAAAAACACGTCCTCAATACGGAAGGTTCCTTGGAAAGCACGGTCAAGATTGAGGCAGCGTTCGCTTGGGCGTAAAACAACCGCAAGCAATCCAGCGACGATCAACGTATATTCTGAACCCAGTTGCCACCATTCAACCCAGTGGCCACAAGCGAATCTCAAGGAACCGCCATGTGCAAATCTGAATCACTCTGTGTTGTCGCGGCCGCTCGCCCACCATTTGTAGTCTTCACTCAGTCAGGCGGGAATCCAAATCTGGCGATCAATGATCGAACACTTTGTTGTAGCCGACTGCCTATTCTGGAAAGGGACGCACAACACCCACACACAAACGCAACATTTCACCAGCCTGAACAACAAATCCCGGACTCATCACGAAGGATTTGATAGCGAAGTGGGGTCATCAGCTTGCAACTCAAGACACCCGCAGTAGATAAGGCATCAGCAATGGTGCAGTAGATAAGGCATCAGCAATGGTATCTTCGGCATGGTCAAAACAAATGTGTCTATATGCTTAAGCTTGCTGTGTGCTTCCCCCAATCTTCCTGCAGGTCCGCGCTTCCGGCAAAGCCTTGTTTGTGGTCATGCATCATGCCAGGTCAAGCATCTTTCACCAGAAACGGCGCTTGGCGTTTCGTGGCACACCATCATCATTAGATCCGAAGCAAACATCCTGGGGAGCCTTGTTTCGATGGAATGAAACTGACGAAATCAAACCGCCTGGAATTTGGTACGAGAACTGGCTATGTTCTCCCCAACCACTGAATGCAACCCACAGAACTCTCCACCGTTTCTCCCCACGCCCCTCCCTCCGGCCAGCAGGATATGTTCTGGAGCAGCGGCCTCTCCAGGCTCAAGGCTAGCCTGCGCATGCCCGCATAGGTCGCAGCCAAATCAACAACTGGCCAGCCAGCGGAAGGACCAAGGGATTTCACACTCTGAACACGCCCCGCCCCCGCATCTGAATCACTTCTGAACACTTACACAAGTGGCTTCATGCTGCAACGTGGGGTAGGCCCAGGGTGAGAATCAACTTTGGCTTTGCATAAGTGAAATCACGCCAGAGAACATGTGAAGTCATCCGCTTTTGAATGCTTAAGCTCGCAAGCAGAAGATAAAGTGAGCCATGGCAAGACCTGCTGCTGAACCGGTGTACCCGAAACCGCGTGAGAAAATTGACAAGGCCCCACATCTTTCATAGTTGAGAAGGCCGCTGACAAACTGCATCTATCTCAAGTGGAAGTCCATCTTCAGCTACATGGAGCCGCAGGCACTTCCCTTTGTTTGCAGTGAAGCCGACCTCACCGCCCTTGCCTGCAGAGATGCAGGGAGATGTGGTCTGCCACCTGCAACTTGAGGCTGTGCTCACCTCAGGCATAGAGCGTCAGTGGCAGGAATAGGAACCCACTCTGAACCCACCGAATCTCTTGAAACGACAGGGACCTACTGCAAACCGATATAGACACTGGATAATTCGGTTCACAATCAAAACGCAGGCCAGTCAAGGTCAGCAGGGACAGTCCCAGCCACAAACAGGTGCGGTCGCCCTCTTGATTCTTTGTATGATTATTGGGTAGACCCCTTTCGTACCAGGTTTTGATTGCAACTAATTTGGCGGGTTGCTCACAATTGCTATTGTGACCAGCCCCAGCCGACATGAGCTTTGCCAGGAAGGCCCTTGCCTTCAGAAGGAAGCTCTGCACCAAATCTTCTCAGATTCCACCAGGCTGTAGAAGGGCAAGCTCGAAAGGGGGAAGCATGATAGCCATAGTTGAGATAAACCACGATACATTCGCATTACCACCCACGCAATCACACATCACCCGCCGCTGTCTGAGCAATGGCCCGGGGGTGATACAATGATAGTAAACAATCGAAACAAGGCAGCCATTAGAGGCAGCGCATGTGTGCATGAAATTATGTCGATATACCGTAAATTAAATCAACTTCAACGTTTTGTTCTTGGCTGTGCTGGACGATGTTACAAGCGTCTGAGAAGAAGATACATTCGGCAACTTGATACACCAGGTGTGCATTGGACTCTGGGCTTCAGGCAACACAACTCAGGTATAGAACATAGCCCTTGCAAACTGAAGGTTGCTGGATTCCCAAGAAGCCTCTTGCCCAAGCACTCACGACCAAGCCAAAACAGCAAATTCCACCCCTGGGTCGGCGCTTTCCGCTCTCCACTTGGTTTTCCGCTGGAGCGAGTGGACTCTGCGCAACTTGATTCTGGCGATCCCGGTCTCCAGCTGGCCGAATCGCATCCTTCCAACCCAGGTCCAGAAAGGGAGGGGGGTTCGTTTGGAACTTCAATCCTTGGATACGCCTGTTTCAAACCTTCAAACACGAAGGGTTACTGAAGGATTGTCCAAGGATAACCCCAAAAAGCCATTGTTTAATCCCCGACAGCCCTGCCAGCATATGCCCGATTCGCGGAACGAGGCCATGGATCAGCCCAAAGAGTCCCGGTGCGCTTGACCCAGAAAACAGGAAAACCTAAGCAGGGCAATGGCACTGTGAGGGCGGCAGCCTTCGACAATGTCAAGGGTAAACAACAATATGTTGAAGGTGTAGTTGGTGGGCGGGATCATCACACCAGGAAGCGTTAGGCGGCGGCATACCGCGGTCAAAAACAAAGCCAAAGAAACACGTCATGCATCTTTAAGGTCATGCATGCTTAAAGAAAGGAACACGTTCAATCCACTTTTCAGTGGAGTTGCACTGCAATGCTGTGACCTGGCCCCTCAGTCCTGCGCTGCTGATGCGCATGCATATAATTACGTAGGTCAAATATATGGGGCCCTTCATTTCCCAACAAACCGTGTTATCATCCATGAATAATCACATACGCAACGTGTCTTCACCCATGCCTTCATCTTGACTTGCATGGTGCTCAAACCATACACCAAACCTTCCAAGTTGGAAAATCAAAGGCAGCAGTGCCAGTGGTGGAAGCTAACCGCGACAAAATGACGGCTAAAATGCAAAACAGTGGACGTTCTGCCTCTTGCATTGCATGGAAGGATTGAACCCACAAATGGTTTTACTGTGCCCTCTCCTCAGTATGCGCGAAGATTCAGGGCTTCGACGACATCCCACGCCTCAAGGTGACAGGCTGAAGTCGTGGGCAAAAGCACTCTGGCCAGAACATACTCGATGACTTGTTTTCTATCGTAACCGCATTTCACTGGCACTCAATGACGGAAGAACTATAGTTATGAGTCACAACTGGGCACCACCATCCAAAGAAACTATTTACCATGTCACAAAAAATGTTTTGCTATCACAACCAGAAACTAGCCTGTGGAATGGTCGCTTTTCAGTTTGTAAAAACGCTGTTGTCAACTTTGATGCCTTGTTTGAGGGCAACGTTTGCAACCAGATTGGGCCGGCTCTTCAACGAGCAAGAAAGGAACAACTGAGTGAACTCCCCTGAACAACTGCCTGGGCTGGAGGGAAATGAAGACCGACAACCTGAAGATCTGTAGTCTATGATCACCAAAAGGAAACAGGTACAAGGATCTGGTGAGAGGAGCAGTTGAGTGGATACAAGGAGTTGTTGAGTCACGGAGCTGGTGAGTTCGACAATGACTTCTGAGGGACCCAAGTTCCTCCCTTCAAATCCCAAACGCGCTTCCAGGACATGGCACCTCCGGCCGCAATACCTCTGGGACAAACTCCTCTGGCGTCAGCTCACCTCGCACAAGATCGCGCGGACGCACAAGCAACCCATACATCGCAGGCACATGGTAATGCAAAACGCAAGCGCGCAAATTGCACTGTCAACAGTCAACAACGCGAAGGCTAACTGGGTCTGGTTGCTGGGTCCGGCTGGGGCGAAAGTTTAAATGAAGTTGCGAAAGCTCGTTTTCCCTCTGGGAAGCTCGGCCTTTCTTCTGCAGCTTTGCCTTCGTGTTGAGCCCGGTTGCCCAGTGACCCGTTCGGTAGAACTCTGATTGGAACCATGCCTTTCTAGGTCGATCATGTGTGATGGGGAAGCCACCAAACAAAAAAGGGGGACTTTCCGTTTTGCCGCTGACCAACTGGGCTGTGTGTGTCTTTGTTTGGGGTACCCCATTTTGGTTTTAAAGCAGCACCAAACAGAGACCAACAGGAAACCATCAAGAAACCAGCAGCAAACCAACGAGTGGAAAGCAAGACGAAAAACAAAACAAAAAAGTCCAACCGCTTTGTGGGGGGGTGGAATCCTCAGCTTGCACTCAGATCCCGCCTGATGAGGCCGCCTTGGGCGACGATCCCGAGGGCAACTCCCCGAAGACCTTCGAGAGGCCGCGGTCCTGGCGATAGCATCGGCTACAGGCCCCGAGTGGTACAAGCATGGCTCATGGTTTTGTTTGCGGCTCGGTGCCCGTTTGGGGTTGGTCTAAAGGGAAAACAAGCGAAATACATAGGGGAACCTTTGGTGGGGACATCATTGAGGTGGGGATTCATGCCCACCAACCACTTTGAAGGTAGCCACCCGTTTGGGTTCATAGAACAACTCATTTTGGGGAGGTTCACCAGTCTGAAATAAATCCAATAGGCAACAAAATACACACTCAATGCGCATACCTCGCATGGAGCCAAAAACAAGCTTGCAGAAATGGAAGATTGTTTTCCTGCCTCGGTCAGGTTCACTTGGGGGCAAAGAATGTTCCAAGGCCCCAAGAAAGGTGCCGAATAAACCCCATGGCAAGGCGTTCTAGTCAAAGGCTTCTGTGAATCTTTCTGGGGGGAGGGGGGCTTTCTGATCCCGTGAATGAATCCCCATCTGAATTTAGAGGGTGGGGAGTCAGGAGCCAAACAGCGTCAACCAAGCCCAATCCCTACCAAATTAACATATCCAGGCCCAACCCCCTATATGGCCCACAAAGAAGACAAAAAACATGCAGCCTCCACAACATGCCTGCATTTTCCGGAACCCATTTATTGAAACACAAACAAAACCACAAGTCCTACAAAATGGGTTCCCTATATTCTGAGACATGACCCGCCACAACCATCAGCATTGCAGCAGGTATTGCTTGCATCCCTAGTGTTTGTGGCTTCCAAGAAATGCTGCAAGCAATCAAGCGAGCTGATACAAGGTGCCTCAAGCACATCATCAAGGGGTAGTCAACACCGTAAACTTAGATCTGCAGTGGGGAGCGACCAATCCTTCCCACGCAACAATATGGTCAAGGGGCACCCACACAGATAACTGGATTATTTTTCGTGTCGCTTTAGCCCAGTGTGTTTGACTCAACCCTCCCATGGCACATCCCGGGTCCAGCCACACGTTGTGTTTCGTCAAAGCCTGGAGGGCAGCGGGACAACACATTTGGGTTCGTCTCAAAACATGGGTGCATGTTTTTGCCTATGGAGCGAACACCGAACGTGTTGTCGTGTGCATTTTAAGAAGACGGGTTTGTGGGGGGGGGCATATGCTGAACAGTCAGTCATTTTGCACACGCATGTTGGCTGCCGGGAGCATTTCCTTTGCATAGTTCAGCAGACAGCAGCATCGCCGAGCAGAGCAATGTTTGGCAATGTTTTGCCCATCAAAGTTCAATAAGCTTCGATGACCGACCGCACGGCATTGCTGATCTGGGGGCAAGAACTCAGAAGTGAGCAGAATTCAGAAGCGACAAGAGCAGAACTCAGAAGCGACAAGAGCAGAACTCAGAACTGAAACACTGACTGACACGTGCGCGACCAAAAGGAAGGCAGCAGCTGTGACGTGCGAAGCGGGTTCATGGCCTGGACATGCAGATACCCGCAATGGGAGGAGAAGCCCCTGACGTGTCTCCATTTTGGGGGGCTTGAAGTTGAAGTATATATGGAACGGTTTGCCACAAGAAGATGTCCCAGAAGTAGAGATATATGTTTCCAACAAAAGGACGAGGCGTACGCTTCTGCAAGGGTGCACTATTCATGGGAATACCTAGCCATTAGCTTCAAAGTGATTCTTCTATTGTTTGTTCGCTAGACTGTCCTAACATGGGCTACCCCACACACACACAAAGTGACTCCTTGTTTTGTGTTTTGTTCAAGCTTTACTAGAAAAGCTTCACGAACCAACCCTTTGTGAGTCCACGTGAGTCCCCTTTGTTTGGCAATCACCGTGTCATAAGCATCATGGAGGCTGCAACCAACTAAATGTGTGTGTGTGTGTGTGTGTTTTGTTGAGGGCACGCTGCTTGAGGTTGCTTTGAAGGAACACCATTGTGGGGTCTTCCGTATTTTGACACATACCCCAACGAGGGAGCCAGCATTCGCAATCTGTCACAACCACGCCTTGGCGTGACGAGCCGCCTTCTCGGGGTCCTTGGAGTGCTTGGACACATGCACCGGTTTCCTGGCCTCAGGCGACACATGCAATGTCAC